ACTGTTGTTGTAGGCAAATTCAGCCAATGGCAAATGATTTTCCCAGTTTCCCTGAAAATCAAGGACACATATTCTCAATAAATCCTCCAGAGTCTGGATGGTCTTTTCTGACTGGCCATCTGTCTGAGGATGATAGGCACTACTCAGTCTCAATTCAGTACCTAATGCAGCCTGTAGCCTTTGCCAAAATCTTGATGTAAACTTTGAATCCCTGTCAGAAACAATGGACACAGGCACTCCATGCAGTCTAACAATTTCATCAATATAGAGTATAGCCGATTTGTCCGCATTATAAATTGTCTTGACAGGTAAGAAGTGAGCAGATTTAGTCAGTCTATCAACAATAACCCAAATTGAGTCCATACCTTTACTGGAGCGAGGCAATCCCACAATAAAATCCATGGTGATATGTTCCTATTTCCACTCCGGTATGGGTAAGGGCTGCAATAAGCCTGCGGGTCGCTGATGTTCGGCTTTAACTTGTTGGCAATGAAGACATTTTTCCACAAAATCAGTAATCTCTTTCTTCATTCTCGGCCACCAGAAATTCAGTTTTAGATCTTGATACATTTTCGTATTCCCTAGATGGATAGAAAATTTTGAATTGTGGCCCTCTTGCAGAACTCTTCTTTTCAATTCAGAATCATTTGGTACACATAATCTTTCTTGAAATTTCAGTACATTACTTTCAAATTTGAAACCCGGTCTTGGTTTAGTTTCCCTTTCTTTGATGATCTTCTTCAAGAAGTCATCCGATTATTGTTTTTTTTTTAATTTCTTCAATCAGTGGCGGTTGAGCAGAAATGACAGCTATTGTTCCACCTTGTTCTCGCAAAACGATTTCAATTTCAGATTTTTCAAGGTCACAAAGAAATTCGTTCTGCCCGGTAAGCAAACAGGCTAAATTTCCAATCGATTTCCGGCTCAGTGCATCGACAACGGTGTTGGTTTTTCCCAGATAGTACAAAATCCGTAGGTCATAGTCTTTAATCAGTTCTAGCCATCTCCGCTGTCTCATGTTCAGTTCTTTCTGTGTGAAGAAATATTTCAGACTTTTGTGGTCGGTATATACTTCACATGTAGCCCCATAAAGGTAGTGACGCCAGATTTTCAATGCAAATACTACTGCAGCAAGCTCTAGATCATGGGTCGGGTAGTTCTTTTCATGCGGTCTCAGTTGTCGGGAAGCATAAGCAATAATTCTCCCATTCTACATTGAAACACATCCCAAACCCTTATGAAAAGCATCACTAAATACAGTAAAACCATCCGTACCTGAAGGTAAGGTAAGAATCGGTGCAGTTAC